CTGATTCATTCTCATGGCTTGTTATGGGCCTATTCAGGTTTTCTATGTCCTCCTGGCTCAATCTTGGTAGATTATATGTGTCCAGGAATTTGTCCACCTCATTCAGGTTTTCTTGTTTGTTGGTGTATTGTTGTTCATAGTATCCTCTAATGACATTTTGTATTTCTATTATATCTGTTGTTATATTGTCTGCTTCATTGTGAGTTTGATTTATCTGGTTCCTTTCTATCTTCTTAATTAGTCTAGCTACTGTTGTGTGATTTTGTTAATGTTTTCAGAGAACCAGCTTTTGCTTTCATTTATTTTCTGTATAATTAATATATTTTCAACTTTATTTATCTTTACTCAAATCTTGTTTCTTTTTTCCTGGGGGTTTTTTTTTTTTTTTTTTTTTTTTCCGGGGGAGGGGGGGTTTTTGTTGTTGTTGCTTTTCCAAGTCTCTGAGGAATGATGTTAGGTTTTCATTTGCCTTCTTTCTTTTTTCTTATGCACACTAATTGCTATGAACTTCCCCCTTATGACTGCTTTAGCTGTGCCCCATAAGTTATGGGAAGTCATGTACTCATTGTCATTGGTTTCCATGAATCTTCTGTTTTCAGTCTTAATTTTTTCAGTAGTTGTGAAGTCATTCAGAAGTTGGTTATTTAGTTTCCATGTATTTGTGCATCTTCAAGTTTTTTTTTTCCCTAAAATTTACAAGTTTAATTCTATTGTGGTCAGAGAAGATGCTGGATGTAGTTTCTATACATTTGAATCTGCAAAGCTTGATTTGTGCCCTATCATGTGGTCAATCTTTGAAAAGGATCCATGTGAGGATGAAAAAAAATGTATTTCATGTTTTTTGGGTGGCAGTTTTTATAAATGTCTATAAAGTTCATTTGAGTTATGAAATCATTTAGTCCTATATCTCTTTGCTTATTTTTTGTCCAGGTGATCCATACAAAGTAGATAGTGTGACTTTGAGATATCCCCAACAATTAGTGTGTTGAAGTCTGTTTCCTTTTAGACTTAACAGTCTTTCCTTCACATATTTTGTTGATTCTGAGTTGGGTGCATAGATACTTTTAAGCATTATTCCTTCTTTATGAATTAGCCTTTTACTACTATATGTTTCCCTTTGTCTCTTCTCTTTTTTTAATCATACATCTTTTTATTTCTGCATGGGAAGTAATGACATCTTTACTCTCATATCTGATGTACTGATTTGTATCTTCTGCTTTTTAAATTTAATTTTATTTTAATATCTTTTATATATTCAATCATATATATCACTTAGTTTGGAATGTGAATGTTCTGACATGAATACATTTCTCACCAGTCTAGTTGGGGATACTAAGGATGTTATCATCATCAGATAATAACCCATTTATTTGTCTCATAAATGTCTTGCCTCTGTATTTCTCTCCTTAATATCTTTCCACAGACTCTCCTCCTTCAACTCTCTTCCCTCACTGTATCTGGTTTCTATAACCATTTTCTATGTTTCTATAGCCTCCAGTATTTCAGTTTTGTTCATATATTCTGGATATTCAGTACATATTAAGTGGAGACATTTGATGTTTCTCCTTCATATCCTGGCTTGCTTCACTCACAGGACAAATGGGTTGGTTTCATGTTTTAGCAATTATGAATATTGCCGCAAAAAACATAGATGTGCAAGCACTTTTCTGACTAAGCATTCTTCCTTCCTTTGAGTAGATACCAAGGAGTGAGATTGCTGGATCATATGGTAGTTCTATTTGTAGAACTTTGAGGAATCACCATAATGTTCTCCATAGTTACTGGACTAATTTACATGCCCACCAGCAGTGTAGGAAAGTTCCTTTTTCAGCACATTCCTGCCAGCACTTATCATGTTGTTTTTTTAATCTTAGTCATTCTGACTGGGATTAAGTGGTATTGCATTGTGACTTTGATCTGCATCTCTTTTATAATGAGGAATGTTGAGCAGTTTTTCATATGCCTTTTGGCTATTTGTATGTTTTCCTTAGAGAGTTGTTTTTTCAGCTCATTCTCCCATCTTTTAATTGGGTTGATCATATTTTTTGGGTTAAGCCACTTGAGTTCACTGTGTATTCTAGTTATCAGTCTTTTTTGTCCGAAGCATAATTTACAAAAATATTTTCCCATTCTGTGAGAGGTCAATTCCCACTAATTACTGTATTTTTTCCATACAGAAACTTCTTTATCTGATGAAATCCCACTCATCAATTTTTGGAATTATCGACTGTGCTTTGGGTGTCTTATTTCAGAATTCTTTGCCTACCCTAATGTCTCACAGAGTTTCCCCAGTGTTTTCCACCAGTATTTTTATAGTTTGAGGTCTGAGTTTTAAATCTTTGATCCACTTTGAGTTGACTTTTTTCAATGGTGAGAGATAACAGTTTAGATTCATCTTTTTACAGGTAGATATCCAGTTTTTCCAGCACCATTTACTAAAAAGGTTTTCCTTTTCCCATTGGATTTACTGGTATCTTTTGTCAAAAATCAGTTGGCTAGGGAACCAGCAGTTGGCGTAATGGCTATGTCACTGGACTCCCACGTAGTCGACCGCGGTTCGCGTCCCAGACCCGGTGGCTTAAAACTCACGCCAGGCGCATGTGCATGCGTGCCCAAGATCCCGAGAGGAGACTGGAAGAGAAGGGATCGCAGCATGACCATCCCCCCTGGAGGGTGATTTCTCGCTTTCTGTCTCTCTGTCTCTCTCTCTCTGTCTGGCAAGCGCACGCACCCTATAGCGAAAACCTCTCAAAAAAAATCAGTTGGCTATATGTTGGGGAGTTTATTTCTGGGGTTTCTATTCTGTACTTTTGGTCCACATGTCTGTTTTTGTGCCAATACCGTGCTGTTTCAATGATCACCACTTTATAATATGTTTTGAGGTCAGGGAATGAGATGCCGCCCACTCCACTCTTCTTGTGCAGAATTGCTTTGGCAATACAAGGTCTTTTATGAGTCCAGACAAATTCTATGATTCTCCCTTTTTATATCTGTGAAGAATGTTTCTTGTACCTTGATTGAGATTATGTTAATTATGTAGGTTAATTTGTGTAGAATTGCCATTTTGATTTTATTAATTCTTCCAATCCAGGAACACAGAATGTCCTTCCACTCTTTGTGTAATTTTTCTTACCTTCTCATAGTTTTTCTTGTGGAGTTCTTCAACTTCTTTGGTTAGATTTATTCCTAGGTATCTTATATTTTTTGTGGCTATGGTAAATGAAATTACTTTCTTCAGTTCAAACTCACTGCCTGATGTTCACATATAGAAATGCTATAAATTTCTTTGTGTTGATCTTATATCCTACAATTTTATTACTTCCAGGAAGTTTTTCCACTGGGTCTTCTATATATACAATCATGTCATCTGCCAATAGAGAAAATTTCATCTCTTCTTGTCCTATTGGAATGCCTGGATTTTATTATAATTTCTGATTGCATTGGCGAGGACTTTCAGTTGTAAAGGAGTGGAGAAAGTGGGCATCCTCATCTTGTATCAATTTTTAGCAGAGAAGCTTTCAGCTTTTCCCCATTCAGGATAATATCATCTATGGATTTTTCATAGATAGCTTTTACTGTGTTGAGGAAAGATCCTTCTATGCCAATTTTGCTGAGAGTTTTGATCATGAAGGGATGTTGCATCTTATCAAATGTTTTACTTAAATCAATTGATTTGATTATATGGTTTTTAATCTTTCTGTTAATATGGTGTACATTTATGAACATTACATTTATGGTTTTGCATATGTTGAACCATCCTTGCATCCCTGGAATAAAGCCTACCTGGTCATGATGTATAAGCTTTTCTATATGTTGTTGGATATGATTTGCTAGTATTTTGTTGAGAATTTTTACATCTATATTCATCAGATATATTGGTCTATAGTTTTTCTTCCTAGTCATGTCCTTGTCTGTTTTAAGGATAAGGGTAATGGAGCCTTCATAGAATGAATTTGAGAGAATTCTACCCTTTTGTATCTTTAGAGATACTTGAGTATAATGGGAGTTAACTCTTATTTAATAGTTTTGTAGCATTCTGAGGTGAAGCCATCAGGACCAGGGGTTTTCTATGTTGGGATATTATTTATAACTGATTCAATCTCATGGCTTGTTATGGGCGAATTCAGACTTTCTAAATCCTCCTGACTCAATCTTGGGTGGTTATATGTGTCCAGTAATTTGTCCATGTCATCCCATGTCATCTAGGTTTTTTTTAAAATTTATTTATTTTACATTCATCATCACAGCATACTAAATGTGATTTCCCATCCAGAATACATGGTATAGTGGCTTAATCATACATGTTATCATCGACAAGTTATTTTCTATTTCTTGTTTCATATATATATGTGTGTGTGTGTGTGTGTGTGTGTGTGTGTGTGTGTGCATATATATGTATATATAGATATACATATATATATTCACCATATTTCTCATCCTCTGCCATTTCTCATCCTCTTCCCATATATACTGTCTCTTCTGTCCACAGTGGCTTTCCATTCCTTCCCCTCTCACATTTTATTGATTCACAAAATATCTTAATTAATCTAATTACTTTCAATAGCAAATTCAGCTGATATATACATAACTGTGAACACATATCTGACTTAAGGTGTGAAACTCTGAGTAGAATGAATATACTATAAAGTAGCACCTAACTGATGCTATATATCTTACTGTAGTCATTAAATACATATATTTAATAATTTTTTTAATTTCTAGAAAAGTAGTTTTAGCTTTAATAAATCAAAAATCAAAGAAATGCTGAGGAACTTTACTTAAAACTTAAAGCCAGGAAACAGGTTAAGATTCTGTTTAAATAGTAGGTACATGAACCTATTGTCAGCTCAAGACAATACAAAAATTCTTAAATCTGGAAAACAATGCATAGAAAAATCAGTGATTATTTTAATCAAAAGTCCTAAGGTTCTGTTTCACCAGTTCGGTCTGATTTACTTAATCTATTTTTAGTTGTGGTTCACCTTCCCATTTAAATTCTGAAAAATATAGAACACTTAACGAATTTCTGTGTCATCCTTGCACAGGGGCCATGCTTTTCTTTGTATCGTTCCAATTTTAGTATATGTTCTATGCAAGCCAGCACTCATCCAGGTTTTCTTGTTTGTTGGTGTATAGTTGTTCATAGTATCCTCTAATGTATCCTCTCATGATGTTTAGTATTTCTGTTATGTCTGATGTTATATTGCCAGCTTCATTGAATATTTGATTTACCTGGTTCCTTTCTCTCTTCTTAATAGTTTAGCTAATGGTGTGTCGATTTTTTTTTTCTTTTCAGAGAAACAGCTTTTACTTTCATTTATTTTCTGTATAGTTCATTTATTTTCTATTTCATTTATTTCTGCTTGAAATTTTATTATTTCTTTTCTCCTAGAGTTTTTGGAACTTTTTGTTGTTACTTTTCCAATTCTATGAGGCATGATGTTAGGTTGTCCATTTGCCTTCTTTTCTTCTTCTGTACACAAATTGCTACAAACTCTTCTCTTATGACTGCTTTTGCTGTGTCCCAAAGATTATGTAATCTTGTGTACTCATTATCATTGGCTTACATATATCTTTTGATTTCAGTCTTTATTTCTTCACTAGTTGTGAAATCATTCAGGAATAGGTCACATAGTTTCCATGTTTTTCTGTATTTTTGAGTTTTTTTTTCTGAAATTCATATCAAGTTTAATTCCAACCTGCTCAGAGAAGATGCTGAATATAGTTTCTATGCCTTTGAATATGTAAAATCTTGCTTTGTTCCCTATCATATGAGAACTCTTCCAAAAGGTTCCATGTGGGGATTAGACAAAAGTGTATCTCACGGTTTTTGGGAGGAAGGTTTTATAGATTTCTGTTAAGTTGATTTATTTTATCATTTAGATCCTTTATCTCTTTGCTTATTATTTGTCTAGATGATCTATCCAAAGGCTGAGGTCCCCAACAATTAGTACATTGCTGTCCATCTCTCCTTTGAGATCTTACAGTCTTCCTTCATGTATTTGGGTACTGTTCAGTTAGGTGCATAGATATTTGTAAGCGTTATGTCTTCTTGATAAATTAGCCCTTTTACTATTATATAATGCTTTTTGTCTCTTTCTATAGCTTTTGTTTTAAAGCCTATTTTGTAGGAAATTAGTATCGTGACTCCAGCTGCTTTATGGTTCCTGTTGGCATGGGATACCTTTCCCAGTCCTTAACTTTTAGTCTATGTATGTCTTCATCTATGAGATGTGTTTCCTGTAGGTAACAGATAAAGGATTTCTGTTTTTGTTTGTTTGTTTGTTTTATCCACTCAGCTAATCTGTGTCTCTTGATTGGCAAATTTAATCCATTAACATTTAATGTTATTATCGATATTTCTGGACTTGTCCCTACCTTTAAGGTGGCTAATATCTTACTTGTCTTTTTTTCCCTTTGTTTCTTTCTGTACATTCTTTAGTTTTCCTGGAATAGGACTCTCTTTAGAGTTTCTTGAAGAGCTGATTTGGTGTTAGCCCATTCTTTCAGATTTTGTTTGTCTGAGATTTTAATTTTTTCCCCCATATGAAGGATAATCTTGCTGGATATAATAATTTTGGTTGAAATTGTTTCTCTCTTAACACATTCAATATGTCTTCCCATTCTTTCCTTGCTTGCATTGTTTCCGTTGGAAGGTCCAGTGTTAGCCTGATGGAATGACCTTCATAAGTCACTTTACATTTCTCTCTTGGCAGTTTTATTATCTTGTCTTTATTTGTGACTTTGGCCAGTCTGGCTAAGATGTGCTGTGGAGAGGATCTTCTTGGGTTGATCCTATTTGGAGTCCTTTGTATTTCTTGGGTCTGGATGCGTGAGTGCTTCTCTACACTTGGGAAGTTTTCTTCTAGGATTTCATGGAATGATTTTCAATGCCCTTAGTAGTTTCTTCACCTTCAGGGATACCAATTATTCAGATTTTTCAACATTTAATGTAATCTAGTATTTCTTATGTATCATCTTCATTTTTTTAAATTACTTTCTCTATCTTTTTTATGCTTTTTTATTTTTTTTCTTAGAGGTTTTGTCTTCCACATCTGAGATTCAATCTTCAGCATGGTCCAATAGGTTTTTGTTTTGTTTTGTTTTGTTTTGTTTTGGAGAGGATTTTGCTATAAGGTGTATGCACTCACCAGAAAGACAGAGAGAGACAGAGAGACAGAAAGTAAGAAATCACCCCCCAGGGGGGATGGCCACACCACAATCCCTTCTCCTCCATTCTCCTCTTGGGATCTTGGGCACACACGCACACGTGCCCGGCATGAGTTTACACCATCAGGTCTAGGACTCAAACCGTGGTCAACTACATGGGAGTTCAGCAACATAGCCATTATGCTAACTGCTGGTCCCTCCAATAGCTTTTTCATACTTTTGAGAGAGTTTTTGATTTCCTGTATTACAGACTTCATTTCTAATTGTTCCATTTAATTATTTCTTATGGTGTCCATTTCTTCTTTCAAATTGTGGAAGAGCTTCCTCATATCCTGGAGTTTGTTGTCTCTTTTCTGTTTCAACTCATAGAGTTTTGCCACTATGAATGCTCTAAATTCTTTCTCTGACATTTTAGTAAAATCTTTTGATTTTTCAAAAGGTGGAGAAGAGTTATTGTCTCTTGATGGAGACATTTTTTTTTTACTTGAGGTTCTGCTCTGACTTCTAGCCATTGGGTGGTGTATTCACTTTTGGATAGCTTTTTGGAGAATGTTTCTGCCCTTGGGAACTAGTTTGCTTCCCTTTTGCTGTGAATTGCTTCTGTGAAGTTTCTCTCTGTTTTGTTTAGCAATGTGGGCCCCACTGGAAGAGTTTTCTATTCAGGTTTCTGAAGAGCAATTTCTCCTTTCTTGCAAGTGGTTTAGAATAGAGCAAGGATCCCTGGGAGCTTCACAATGCTAGGATGTTTGAAAACTATGATTCTAGACCTGTCTATTCTTTCTGGTTTGGTGGAGGATGAAGAGAAGATGACAATATAAGATGGGTGAAAAAGAATATGAAAGAGGAAAACAGATAAATTCTCTTCTTATAGTTTTTGTCTTTAAGACTATTTTGTCTGAAGTCAGCATTGTGACTCCAGGCTTTTTTGGTTTCTATTTGCATGGAATACTCTTTCCAGCCCTTCAATTTTCAGTCTATGTATGTTTTCATTCATGATGTGCATTTCTTGTAGGCAACTGATAGAGAGTTTCTGTTTTTTGTATTTATTCTGCCAGTTTGTGTCTCTCAATTGGAAAATTTAATTTGTTAACATTCAATGTTATTATCAATATTTACAGACTTTTCCCACCATTCATTTGACCATTTTGTTAGCTTTTTGTTGTTGTTGTTCTCTTATTTCTGTATATCTCTTTTAAGTTTTCTTGGTGTAGCACTCCCTTCCAAATTTCTCAAAGAACTGGTCTTGTGTCCACTGATTTTTTTGAGTTTTGTTTATCAGAGAAAGTTGTATCTTTTCTTCTCATTTGAAGGATAATCTTGCCAGATATAGTAACCTTAGTTGAAATTATTTCTCTCTTAACACTTTGAGTACATTGTCTCATTATTTCTTTGCTTGCATTGTTTCTGGTAAGAGGTCTGATTTTATCCTGATGGGATAACTTTTTTAGGTAATTGACATTTTTCTTTTCAATTTTATTTCATTATTTTTGTTTGGAGAGGTTTTTTGCTATAGGACATATATGCTCGCCAGAAAGACAGAGAGAGACAGAGAGACAGAAAGCAAGAAATCACCACCCAGGGGGAATGGCCACACTGCAATCCTTTCTCCTCCATTCTCCTCTCGGGATCTTGGGCACACACACACATGTGGCCAGCATGAGTTTAAGCCACCAGGTCCAGGACTCGAACTGCGGTTGATTACATGGGAGTTCAGCAACATAGCCATTATGCTAACTGCTGGTCCCATCTCTTTTCAGTTTTAGTATCTTGCCTTTATCTGTCATTTTGGCCAATCTGGCCATTATGTGCCATGAAGAGGATGTTCTTGGCTTGATTCTATTGGGATCCTTTATATTTTTGGAGTCTGGAGTTTTGAGTGCTTCTTTAGACTTAGATACTTTTCTTCCAGGATGTTATTTGATTATTAATGCACTTATTAGTTTCTTCATCTTCCGAGATACCAATGATTGCCTTTATCTGTCATTTTGGCCAATCTGGCCATTATGTGCCATGAAGAGGATGTTCTTGGCTTGATTCTATTGGGATCCTTTATATTTTTGGAGTCTGGAGTTTTGAGTGCTTCTTTAGACTTAGATACTTTTCTTCCAGGATGTTATTTGATTATTAATGCACTTATTAGTTTCTTCATCTTCCGAGATACCAATGATTCTGATGTGTGGACATTTAATGGTATCTAGTACTTCTTGTATATGTTAGAAAGTGAGAAATCACCCCCCCAGGGGGCGAATCACTATGCTGCAATCCCTTCTCTTCCATTCTCCTCTTGGAATTTTGGGAATGCACGCACATGTGCCCAGCATGAGTTTAAGCCTCTGGGACTGGGACTTGAACCACAGTCCCACTACATGAGAGTTCAGCGACATAGCCATTATGTTAACTGCTGGTCCCTCAATGTTTTTTTTTTTTTTTTTTTGGTTAATTTTTCAGTCTTTTTGGTAATTTTTTCTAGGCCAGAGGTTTTGTCTTCTATGTCCAGAATTTGATCTTCTACAGTATGTAATATACTTTTAATGCTTTCAGGGGAGGTTTTGATTTCCTATATTACAGCCTTAACCTCTAGTAGTTCTGTCTGATTCTTTTTTATGGTATCTAATGCTTTCAAATCATGGAAGGACTCCATCTCCTGTAATCTATTGTCTCTTTTCTCTTGCACCTTCTGGAGCTCATTGTCTCTTTTCTCTTGCACCTTATTTAGTTTTGAATTTTGAATTTTCACTATGAATTTTCTGAATTGTTTTTCTGACATTTTCATGAGTTCTACTGTACTGTCTTTGGATCACATGAAATTATGTTTTTCTCTTGCGGGAGAGATATTTTCTTAATTTCTCATATTTCTTGTGCTTCTGCATTGGTTTCTGGTCATCTGATGGATTATGTATTTCTTCCTAATTTCTACACTATTGTTGCTAGAAC